CCCCTTTTCCCTCCTCCCAATCTGAGCCTCCCTCACCCCCGGGTCTGGCCCCTCATGTCCCCACGGATTTGAGTCCCCCCGGCCCCTGTGGGTTTGTGCTCCAGTGTGGACATCACGTTTGGGGACAGACAGTGGCCGGAGGGGACATTGCAACCCCCGGGGCTGCACGTCACCCCCGTGGGGTCTGGGGACTGTGGGACTGCTGAGGACGAGGCGGTTCCCAACCCGGGAAATGATGGTGAGGATGAGTGTGGTGGGAGGAAGGTCAGGGAAGGGTTGGGAGCAGCGCTCTGAGTTGAGCTGAGGTGTCCCCACCAAGCCACGCAGGGAAGGGGTGACAGGGTGACAGGGGACCCAGGCAGCCAGGACAGGGTTAAGGACAGGTTCATCCCCGAGGTGACCTTGTGCTGGAGACCGGCTGTGGCCGAAAGCACCCGCTGGTGAGTGGCTTTTCCTCCCACCCCTTGCAGTTCACATCCAGACCTCCCGGGCTCTCATGGTGATTTCTCTCCTCCTGGGTTTCTTCGGCATCATTGTGAGCGTGGTGGGCATGAAATGCACTAAAGTTGGTGAGGAAGATCCCGTTACCAAGAGCCGCATCGCCGTTGCTGGTGGTGTCCTCTTTGTCCTCTCTGGTAAGGCAGCTCCAGCCCTTGCATCTTGTAGAAGATCTCAAACACCTTTTAAAAGCTGTTTGATGGAAGGGAGGGTGCAGAGCTGGTTTGGTGATGGGATGGATGTTGCTGATGTTCAACCTTTGACATCCAGGTCTGTGCACATTGTCCGCGGTGTCCTTGTACGCGACGCAGGTGACCTACGAGTTCTTTAGAGAGAGCACCGTCCCCGTCAACGCCAGGTAAGAGCCTGGCTCAGGGGATGCTCCACATCTGATCCCAGCTCGTCCCTTGTGCTTCCCACAGGACCTTCCCTTGCCGGGTCTGGCAATGCGCGAGGTCGTAGGCAGATGCGTTGGGCAGCTGAGATGGGACCTAATGCCACCCCACAGCTGCTGTGTTGGAGAAGGTCTCCCCAGTCCTCACGTTTCAGTCAGTACCAGCACTGATGTTGTGCTGGGAGAGAGGGAGAGCGCTCGGGGGGGAGCTTCACCCCAAGGGAGCATTAAAACACGGGGGGGGACCTCCAGCTGGAGCCGGCCAACGTGAAAGATGGGGATGGCCAGGGAGAAGAATCACAGAATCCCAGAATGGCCTGGAT